AAGAAACAGGTTTCAAACATTTGCTTCTTTTTAGAAACAGAGTAGTTTTCTTCAGAAGGACTGAACTTCCAACTTTATCAGTCAGAGACACTCTGCTTCAGGCTAGCATGGCAAATATTGAGAACTGAGAAGCAACTTAAGGATGGGACTCACCAGCCCTCTGAGATACCACTGCCCTGCCTATTTAATTTGCAGTGAACCCAAAAGCAAATGGTTTCCAGATCCTCTCCCCATATCCTTCCAATCCTCGGTTTTTAACAAGAAAACAGATCTCTTGTGTAAAGTCAAGGAATGCAAGACAAATTTGACTGGACTCACTACACCGCATTATCTTCCAACACTGCAAAAAGCTAATTTCAGCTGTCACTTACTGGAAGTAAAATGACAAATATCTGTAATATCTGTCAGGTTATGAATGCTTTCAAAAGAGTTATGCAGCTGTCAACATTTTGATGACTTTAACAAGAGAAAAGTAAATGTAGAAGAGGAAACCACATGTCTGTGCAGTATCCAGTTGCCAGACTTCTCCACTACTTCTATTAATAAAACAAACAAATTACCTCCATAAAAGGTGTAAGCCAACAGAGAAAACCAATAGGAGAGAATCTGTTAATAATCTCACCAATTCTATGATGAGATCATCAGAATTAGCCTCAACATCTCAGTAGAAAATGCTTACTTCTATTGAGGGGTGTGAAGTCATCACTAATTTTCTCCCCACCGTGATGGTATAAGAATAAATATGGAGAAGAGCAGAGCTACGCCCAGGGCAAGGAAGGTGAACCTTCCAGACCACTGATCCACCACCCCCAGGCAAGAAGATTAGACCTGACCCCAGCACAGAGAAGGTGAACGTTCCAGGCCACCATACCACCGCCCCCAGTGCAGAGGAGCAGAGCTGTCCCAAGAGCAGAGGAGGAGAACCTTCCGGGCCACTGTACCACCATCCCCAGTGCCAAGAAGGTGAGCCCCATGGGAGCCAAGCAACACACGTCCCTCTCCCCACCCCACCCCCATTGAAATGAGAAGACACGTAAACAAGTCTCAAAACCAGACTTCCAGATCACCTAAAGGAACCCAAAAGGGAAATAAGAATGAACAAACTGATACTCAACAAGCTGGGAACCCTCAACTAGCAACAAAAGAAGATCTGGAAAAAATGAAATCAGAAATAATTTCTCAGATAACAGCAGAGATTGTGCCCATAGGGTGAGACATGATTAATAAATCTAGAGAGGAGCTGCGGAACATGTTGGAATCCCAACATAGGAAACAAATGGAATCCATAAAACAGATGGAAACAGATTCTATGAGATTAAAAACTCCACTGAAGGGCCGGGGATTTAGCTCAGTGGTTCTGCTGCCTGCCTTGCAAGCACAAAGACCTGAGTTCAATCCTTGGTACCAAAAAAAACTCCACTGAAGGTTTACGCAGCAGAAGGTGCCAATGTGAGGACAGAATGTGAGATATAGAAGATAAGATTGCAATTAGTAAACAGGAAAAGAAAAATTGCTTTAAAATAGTAAGGGACCATGAGAAATCAATCCAGCACCGGCTAGATGATAAGAAGAAGAATAACATAAGACTGATCAGAGTCAATGAAGAAATGGGAGACAGTGCAGATGACATACAAAAACTGTTCACAGACATGATGGCAGAAAACTTTCCAAGCAGGGGAAGAGAATTTGACATACAGATAAGTGAGGCATAGAGGACTCCAAGTAGCCTTGATCAAAAAAAAAATCTACACATGGGCATAAAATTGTTAAGATTTCAGAAACCCAACAGAAGAACAAACTTTTATAAGCACTTAGAGAAAAGAAACAAATCACATACAAAGGAAAGCCCATCAGAATCACAGCACACTTCTCAACACAAACCCTCAAGGTAAGAAGAGCTTGGAGAGATGTACTCCAATCCCTAAAGAAAAACAGCCTCCAACCCAGATTGATGTACCATGCAAAACTATCTTTCAAAATTGATGGAGAAATAAGATACTTTCATGACAAAGAGCACCTTAGGAACTTCATGAATACCAAACCAGCACTCCAAAAAATTTTAGACAACATTCTAGGAACAGACAGTGAGGATCACAACCCAAGGAGACCCAGCAGAATTAATCCATCAGGCATGACAAGAAGTTAAACACAAAGGGGGAGAATCCAATGAAAAGAAAAAGTCATGACAATGATAAGTCAATACATATCAGTTATAACCATCAATGTTAATGGTCTCAATTCACCAGTCAAAAGAAATAGACTGGCACAATGGGTCAAGAAGCAAAATCCAACAATATGCTGCATACAAGAAACACACTTCATTCAAAAAGAAACTCATAGACTGAAAGTTAAACGGTCAAAAACAATACTACATGTGACAAAAACCCGAAAAAAAAAGCATGAGTACATATTCTCTTTGCAGATCAAGTGCATTTCAAACCAATACTGATGAAGAGAGACAAAGAAGGACACTACATCCTTCTAAAGGGAATGATCCAAGAGGAAGAGATGACAATCATAAATATATATGCACCACACACTAGTGCACCCAACTATATAAAACAAATACTAATGGATATGAAAAATCAAATAAACACTAATACGATAGTAGTGGGGGACCTCAATACCCCACTGTCACAAATAGATAGATCAACTAGAAAACAATTAGGAACAAAATACTAGAACTCAAACAAACTACTGAACAAATGAACATAACAGATGTTTACGGAGTGTTCCATCCCACAAAATCAGAATACACATTCTTTTCAGACTGTTCAATGGATCGTTCTCTAAAAGAGACCACAGACTCACTCATAGAACATGTTTAACTAAGTGAAAAGGAATTGAAGTTATCCCCTGTATATTATCAGACCATAGTGTGATGAAATTGGAGATCAATACCAAAAGAAACTGGAAGACTTTTATAAACACATGAAAATTGAACAACACACTTCTGAGTAACCAATGGGTCACAGAATAAATTAAAGAAGAAATCAGACAGTTCCTTCAATTAAATGACAATGACAATACAACATATCAGAATCTATGGGACACAATGAAAGCTGTCTAATGAGGGAAACTCATAGCAGTGAATACTCATATTAGGAAAATAGAATGAGCCTAATTAAACAACCTGATGCTGAACCTCAAGCTTCTAGAAAAAGAAGAGCAGGACAACCCCAAAGCTCATACAAGAGAAGAAATTATAAAGATCAGAGGAGAAATCAATGCAATGGAGACTAAGAGAACGATACAAAAAAATCAATGAAGCCAAGAGTTGGTTCTTCGAAAGAATCAACAAAATTGACAAACCCTTAGCCAACCTTATGAGAAAAAGGAAAGAAAAGGCCCAAATCCATGCAATTAGGAAGGAAAAGGGTGAAATTACAACAGACCCAGAAGAAATCCAGAGGATCATCAATACCTACTTCCAGAACCTATACATCACTAAGATGGACAACACAGAAGAAATGGACAGATTCCTAGATAAGTATGAATTACCAAAGTTGAACAAAGAAGACCTAAAAATCCTAAACAACCCAATTTCAATAAAACTGAAAACATAATTAAAAACTTACCAGTTAAGAAAACCCCAGGTCCTGATGGCTTCACAGCTGAATTCTACAAGACATTTAGAGAGGAACTACTGCCACTACTGTTTAAACTCTTCAATGAAATTGAAAGGGAAGCAATACTCCCAAATTCATTCCTGGAAGCAAGCATCACCTTCATCCCCAAAGCAAAGAAAGACCTAATCAAAAAAAGGAACTATAGGCCAATTTCACTAATGAACATAGATGCAAAAATCCTTAATAAGATACTGGCAAATAGAATGTAGAAGATCATCAAGAAGATCACACACCCTGAACAAGTGGAATTAATCCCAGGGATGCAGGGATGGTTCAATATACACAAATCAATCAATGTAATACACTATATCAATAGAGCCAAGGACAAAAAACATATGACCATCTCAATAGATGCATAAAAAGCATTTGACAAAATTAAACATGCATTTTTGGTAAAAACCCTACAAAACATTGGACTAGACGGTCTCTACCTCAACCTGATAAAAGCCATCTAAGAAAAACCAACAGCCAATACTCAATGGTCAAAAACTGAAATCCTTCACACAAAAATCAGGAACAAGATAAGGATGTCCACTATCACCACTCCTGTTCAATATAGTCTTGGAAACAGTAGCCACGGCAATTAGACAAGAGAAAGAAATAAAAGGAATAAAGGTAGGAAGTGAAGAAGTCAAATTGTCATTATTTGCAGATGACATGATATTCTATATAGAAGACCCCAAGAACTCCACTACAAGTCTTCTAGATTTAATAACCAAATTCACTAAAGTAGCCGGACACAAGATCAACACACAAAGCAATAGCTTTCCTCTACGCGAACAAAAGACTCACTGAGAGAGAAATAGGGCAAGCAATTCCTCTCATAATAACATCCAAAAAACTGAAATACTGTGGAATCAACCTAACAAAAGAAATCAAAG